AACCGAGAACCGACTTTTTGTTCCTTTAAGGCCAGTATGTGACAGAGAATTCAATATGAAGCGCTTAGAGGCTGTATGGACGACTAGTTCTAATCAGTCTGGACTAGTGGCATTTCTATGATGGAATATTGATTTTTAAACTGTCAAACACCAAGCGGTCACCGGTGACCGCGACCTATTGTTCTTTAATTGTGTCTATAAAACCGGTACTCGACGAGTTAAAATGAAATTGTAAGAGATTAACATTGAAAATTTACTTCGTCAAACTAATGGAGATGTTATAACGTTTTTAATCAAACAAAAAAATGGACTGAAAGGGTCGAGATAAGTTACTTATTGGTAATATTTATTTGTCTTCGAAAATAAACAGTTTTTTTTGAAATTATGAATAGAGAATGTTTTTTTATGGAATAGGAGGCAAACGAGCAGACGGATCACCTGATGGTAAGCGATCAGCGCCGCCCATGGACACCCGCAACACCAAAGGAGTCACAGGTGCGTTGCCGGCCTTTTAAAAAGAATTACGCCGACAGATCAGATCATTCCACAGTTTTGGTGTGTGAGGCAGAAAGCATCGTGAGAAGTGAATAGTTGTGGCCTGCCAACCATCTATATGGTGGGGATGCATATTCTGTCGTGAGCGTCGATGGCGAAAAGATGCGGCAGGTATCAGGTCAAACTGAAGAATAGCATGACTTGTAGCAAAATAGACACGAATTGCTAATTACAATTATACTGTTTAAAAAAATACTACATTTGAGAGCTGAGAGACGGAGCCACTAGCATTTTCTTTTTCATTTTATCGAACTCTAAATAACTTAAAAATATATTGTTTTTACAACTAGATGTTCTCATTTTAAAGGTAACTAAATTGTTTTTTATACGACATACGTTACTAATTAATAAAAATACTTGTATTAGAAAATATTTATCGAGAAATGAAAAACAGAAACGCTAGTGTCTCCATTTTTTTGCTTCCAAGTGTATAACACTGAGAAAATAATGAACAAAAGACAAGCCGAATAAGCTCAGACATTATAAAAACTTAGCTTGAATAACAGTCTTTTGAATTTTACTTCAACAACTGTGACTATTTTGGATGTCTCCCAATCCTAAGTTCGACGACCGACAATCATAAACAATGAATTTCCATAATAAGAAAACTTGCCGACCTAAGAATAGTGAGACCAATTTCAGAGTTACGTAAATTGAGTTGTTTTGCAAAAAAAATTGGATAGAACTTAATCGAGTTTGATGAACAGCAATAATTGTAGTGATTGTGGCGAAAAAAATTGTAGCCAGTAGACAAATCACCCAAATTATTGTACCAAAATATAGGATGAAAAATATCACTATAGGTACAGGCTGTAAACAGAACGCTCTCGAAACTGCTAAGTGTGGGAGAGCCATGCTTCGGCACGAATAGGCCGGCTCGACCGGAGTGATACCACGGCCTCACAGAAAACCGACGTGAAGCAACGCTTGCGTTGTGTTTCGTCGCGGGAGTGAAGTTACCGGAGGCCCAATTACCCTCCCCTTCCCCAATCTCCCCAATTCCTGAATCCCCAACGATAACTCCTACTCCCCAAAACGCCGGTACCGCACTTGTAACGCCTCTGGTGTTCCAGGTGTCCATGGGCGACGCCGATTGCTTACCATTAGGTGATCCGTCTGGTCGTATACCGGCTTATGCCATAAAAAAAGACAAAAAGGAATAGATTTTTTACAATTTTAATCGTTTTTCTTTTCGTGTTATTCATACAACATCAGCCATGAGCAGTTTATTACAACTATTATTATAAAACAAACATTTAGTTCCTTACATTTTCTGAAAATAAACCTTGTTTTTTGTTCACAAAAGTACCTTTTACCGTTTATACCCTGTGACTAAAGTTTATACAGCAGTTCTGATAATACACAGAAGTGATTTTAAGTTCACGAAGAAGTTCATACATACTATATTTCTGTGCAATAAAATGCACATACATAGACAATTATTTCCACACAAATTACGTCCAAAACTACACTGAAAACTTAATAAACTCAGCCTCATTAGCATACTACTTCTCACAAAATACAACCCAAAGTTCTGAACTTAACCAATTGTTCTCAGAAAATCGAATAATAAAATAACGAGGATAGAAAAGTATCAATTTGAAATCGAGTCCATATGGAAAGTAGAACAAATATGAAGGATGCAAGTAACAGCAATCGTTGAAGCGAAGAATATGAAATGAAGACGTCGGGAAAATGCTGAATATGTGAATTTTAGTGGCTGCGAATGATATTGAAAGTTTGACGGGAGCATAAGGTTAGGTTCTCTCTTTATTATTAAGTTAGGCGTGACCCACTTACAATTGTAAATTGGCTATCTTATATGTGTGGAAGAGCCATGCTTCGGGACGAATGGTCCGGCTCGACCGGAGTCTCAAAGAAAACCGACGTGAAACAAAGCTTGCGTTGTGTTAGTAATTTGTGTGAGTAATTTTTTTTTTATAAGGGTCAAGCCCGCCACAACCTCCCAAAACCGCTGCAACCAGCCAGGATCTACAGTAGATACAACCATGAAAACACCGGAATACTGAAGTCTGGCGCGTCCCAAGGACATGCACAACTGTCTTGGTTTCCGCAACGAAGTGAATCAGAAGATATTATAAGAGAAGAAAAAAACGATAGTTTCCACGCCCCTCGGTGAATTGCTACAGGAGACAGAGTGAATCAAGCTTAAAGGCACAAAGAAAAGAGACTACAACTGGGTGAAGCCCGTGTGAGTAATCTTATCGGAAGCCTAATTACCTCCTTTCCAATTTCCCCAATCCCCGAATCCTCAACAATCCTCAAATTCCTAATCCACAAAAGGCCGGCAACGCACTTGTAACGCATTTGGTGTTTTTGGTGTCTATGAACGACTAGGTGATTCGTTTGCTCGTTTACCAGTTTACACCGTAAGAACACAAGAATTTAAATAGTTCTTTTATGAACTACGTTTAAAAAAACGGCTTCTGGTTTTGAATTCGGTTATTTAATATACTAAAACTTTCTCCTAAGTGTAACAAACACTTGTATGAAACTGCAACAAAATCGGTTTAGCCAATTACGAGATAATTGCACACAAACATACATACAGGTCTAATTGAGAACTTTTTTTTAGATCAGTTAAAATAGTACTGAAAACATTACTATTGAAGACTACTTACTATACTATTATACTATATATTATATAAATATTATACTATACTAAATTAATTACTATAATACTATTGAAGTGGCGATCATTAGAACTTCGAGAAAAGAAAATGTATCGTAAGTAAACAGCCTTATAGAGGCAACTGAACTGATTTAAATGAACATCGACTAAAGGCTAATATCAAACACGGTGTCGAACAACTGCTGCAAGTGAAAATGGAACTTTAAGTTTTAGTACGTAAGACAAAGTTTTAAGCACAGTTTAGCATAAACTTCTTTATGATCTTTGAATAAAGATTCGATATTGAGATCTAGAAATTGTCTTTGATGTTTGAAAAGTGAAGTATAGAGAGTATTTTGAATGCGTTTAGCCAATTTCTATTCAGCAAAGTTACAAAGTAATTCGGCAAGTTAAGTTTTTTTTCTGAACATTGTTTTTTTATTTAGTTTTGTAGTTATTTCAAACAAAGAACTAATTTGAAAGAATTTTATTTCACACGCTAAAAAACGAAAGACATGTACAGATGTTCATGTCTCAAGTGTACCGTAAAATGGGACCAGTTCAGCATGTGCAAAACAGGGAAATTAAAATGTCGAAATAGTTTTCGAAGATTGATTTTCACTTTACTACCGAATTACTAACTAAACTAAAACCTACTTGCTTAAAAATCAAAATTAGTTAGGTACAGTCGCCTAATAAGGCCAACCTTATTTCAAACCTGTATAATCTTGTAGATAAATAAAGTAGAGAAGAAACATATTGGAGGTTGTAATGTATTTATTTCACAATCAAGATATCGAAAAAAGTAATCATAACTGCATATTTTTTAAGTGACCCGTCTCAGAAAGCGGGCCATCTTTGGCGAACATACCTTATATGGATTTTTCGACTGACTTATGTCTATAAGACAGACGTAGGATTTCACCACATTTACGGTATTTATTCAAGGCCTTAGATACAAAACTATAGTATAAGGTAACTAATCATTTGACCGGTAACAATCGACCCTAAAATCAATTTAGATCCTTCTTTTAGTCGACCCTAAAATCATCTAGGTTTCATTCAGAATCTCACAGACATAAAACAATAATTTCAAATACACTCCCCACAAACATTTTTTTACTTATGTAGATCACAAGTTGGTTACAATGAGAGTACATCCATCCTTACTTAGAGAAGCTTAAGAACACAAACCCTGTGAATCCTATGACAGGATATTCTGATCATGATTTATGTCTGACGGATCTACACATTGGGATTTAGGAAGGCAGGCAAAAATGTATTAGCTTTCAAATTCACATGTCAATAACTCGTCACAGTGATCGACATATGAATAATGTTTCACCCTTAGGAATATCGAATCGCATTTTCGATTATCTTTTCCAAAAAGGATCTGTAACATGATAGATTATAAGTGGGTTTTTTATACCAATTGTACACAAAATTGAGGCTGGAAGCAAAACCAACACCCTTTAGTTTTTTGGGATGTTAATTGCAAGTGTAGATTTGTTAAAAAGCTGCGGTCTGCGATTGCGCGCTGCGGTCGAGACGCTCTGTCGTTGTTAATCACTGTAGCTAGGCAAAAATTTAACACAGTTATAGGCAGCCATGATTTTTTTAAAGTTGCAATTTTATTTCATTTTGATTTAATTTTCAGACACAATAAAATTGTTTCTTATGAAATATGGAGACGTAAATCAGTGATGGATCTTTGATTGTTGTGAGTTAGTTGAATAGTGACACTTGATAATAAAACCAAAGTACTAACTAGATCAAAAAGTACCATCACTAATAAATGCCACTAGAAAAGTACCTGGTAAATAGTGCCGCGAAGAACCAGACGAGAGCGCAGATTAGTGTTGCCCTAGTCTTAGTGCAGACGTAACCAGCTCGCAGAGGTTCGCAGATCGCGTAGTACCGCTCAAAGCTGATCGCGAGGATGGTAAGAACTGATGCATGGGTCACTGTCAGCTCCACGAAGGGTACTGCTAGACCTGGAAAAGAAAATGTTTAGATTAGAAATGATGTGATTGGTATTTTATGACATAGGGGTCAATTCACCGAGGGAAGTGAAAACTATCGTTTTTTCTTAACATAACATAACATTATGCCTTTTATCTCCAAAGGCACATTACAGCACTTAATGCCACTATACAATGTAACACCAATATTTCACTATTTTTGTTATCAGTCCCGTGTAATAAGGAGTGAGCCTATTGCCTTACACCAGACACAATTCCAAACTCGGTGCTATTTACTGAGATTTTTTTTAAAACCCATAAATACGACCAATAATCCGACCGGGAATCGAATCCGAGACCCCTTGCGCGATAGTCGCACTTGCGACCACTCGGCCAACGAGGCAGTCGTTTTTTTCTTATTCTGTTATAATATCTTCTGCTTCACTTCGTTGCGGGAACCAAGACAGTTAGTCATGTCCCTGGGACGCGCCGGACTTCAGTGTTCCGGTGTTTTTATGATTGTGTCTATTGTAGATCGTGGCTTACAGGAGTTGCAGCGGTTTTGGGAGGTTGTGGCGGGCTTGTCCCAAAATTAAAAACTTGGGGGCAATTATGAGCAGATGGATCTTCTAATGGTACAATTGACGTCGCCCATGGACACCCGGAACACCAAAGAATTTATCAGTGTGTTACCAGGTCGTGGTCACTTAAGGTTTTTGGATTTTCTATAACAAAAGGGCTAGTTTTCTTTAATGTTTAAATGAAACACAGTGTTTAAATAATTAAATTTTCACTACGAGCTCCGTGTTATTCAAAAAATGCATAATTAAATTCCTTTATCGTCGGCACGCCTGTGATGCCTCTGCTGTTACAAATACATTGGCTAAAGTGATCACGTTGTACTATCAGCTTTGTTGCTACGTTTAAAAATAACTTAAATTAATAATTATTTTATAAACTATGTTTAAAAGAGCCGACATCACACCTCTTTTTTGAGGTCGGTTTATTAATATACTAAAACCTTCTCCTAACTCATACTTCTTCTTACTCTACTCTTATTACTGGGTTTTTAAAAAAAAATCTCAGTAGTAGCACGGAGTCTGGAAATGCGCCCGATATACGGCAATAGGCTCACCCCCTATTACATGGGACTTATAACATAAATAGTGAAAAGTGGGTGTTACTTCTGTGTGCACCTGTGCCTACCCGTTCGGGGATAAAAAGGCGTGATGTTATGTTATGCTTCTCCTAACTGTATCAAACACTTTTCTGAAAACCGCATCAAAATCAATTTAGCCAATCGTGAGATCATCGCCATGTATGTATGGATGAGGTCCTCGTTTTTGAAATCGGTTAAAAATTAGGTTATTATATTTAGGTACAATAGTAAGTACCTACAATTTGTTAGCAGCACAATTTTTTTATTAATTTTTACCTTAAAATAGTGTTTACTTAACTCGATATTTCAGCTTAGCTAGATATTTATTTTCTTCAATTAGTTACTTTTATAACGTTTAAGTGCAAAACCGTGTTCGGTAAATATTTTTATTGGATAAAATCATACTTAGTTTTCCAGGTTAATAGAAGCCTAAAATATACAGCCGACTTAAAATACAGGTACACGTATCACAGCTAAACATCACTATTTTTGGAGAAAGCTAAGTATTTGGAATTAATTTTGAAGTGGCCAGTAGATTAGCCTTTTTCTTTTTTTTTAAAGGGGGAAAATCATCGAATGACTGCTCCCGCCTGGGTGAGGCGGGAGGAAGTGTCAGACTCTTACTGACTAAAAACCACCCCGTTCCTTCTCCTGCACGTCGAGCCGGAGCCCCGGTTACCCGTTAGGTTCTCCGCGACTCCGAACAGTAGATTAGCCTACTGCTACGCTATTGCTATTTTGTAAGAAGTCAAATCGTTCTCGTCCGTCATTAGTTGAGATTATTTTCACAACCAATGACATGGCGGACCGTGATCGAACTCACCTCGAGAGTTTAAATTTGACATTACAGCATAGCCGATTAGCTTTGTCTCTTTCTCTATTCGATTGTTAACTTTATTATTACGCGCGTCGTGGTTGAAAATCCATTTCACGGCAGACTTAGAACATGAATTCTCAACCAATGATGGGTGAGAATGCGATCGAACTTACCTCGAGAGTTCAAATTGATGTCTTACAGCATAGTCGAGTAGCTTTGTCTCTTTCTTTATTCGATTTTTAACTTTATTATTACGTGCATCGTGGTCGAAAATCCATTTTATACATTACCTACTAATAGAATAACACATCAGTACATGTCACTTGTTTTTAGGCGAGAATTAAAGGTTTTTATTTCTTTCTTTCAATAGAAAATTTTAACAGACTGGCTCCTGCCATTACCTGCACCCACTCTTCCGTGGAATAAGACTATGCTGCCGACTATCTGTACATTAGGGAAACTTGAAATCAAGAAATAACTAGCATGTCATAATAGGCGTAGACCTTTCACGTATAGTCGTAGGTGTAACCTTAGCATACCTACTTGAATTTAAAGACATCTTCCCACTTCCTAACTCGGTTAATGAATAGAAATGTGAAGTAGAATTACGTAAACATAACATAATTATAAATGCATTAAATAAATAACTGACTATGACTGTGTTCGGACCCGTGTCGGGCAAAGTGTTGTTGAGTTTTATTTTAAATCTGAGTACCATCGAGCTTGGAATTGTGAACGGTATGTGGCAATAGACTCACCCTCCTATAACATGGGACTCATAACATAAATAGTGAAAAGTGGGTGTTACATTGTACAATGGCATTAAATGCCGTAATGTGCACCTCTGGGTAGGCTTCGGGGATAAAAACGCGTATAACATCACGCCTTTTACTCCAAGTTTGTACTAAAGTCAGAATTTTAATTCGATTCCAGATTTGACATTAGCTACTGTCATTTTGTGAAATAATGATACCACATAATAGTGTAGTGATGAACACAAAAATCGATAAACAATCAGTGTGTGTGTGTTTGAATGTTACAGAAAGTGACAGTAATAGCGATAACGATGACGGTGACCATTTATAAAATAAATTATCACCATAATACACCTATCGGTTTGATTTGTCATGTTCCTTCATGATTACATTTTTTTATTTATTTCACACACACAATATTATAGAAGAAAAGTCTCAGATCGTTAATTAATCGTCAAAACTAAATTACCGGTCAGAAATATTTAATTTCCTGATATACTTAGTTTACGAGAGTAAAATAACATTGTACAGTGGTGCCAGTGGCTCCGGTTCTTTACTCTTGTCGAAGTTTAGACGACTTGAAACATAACTAATTGTAAAAATAAGTAGGTATTATAATTCATATGGACCTCTTGCCCATTCAATTAATACAAATCCTAATTAATGATAAAACCTTCACATTTTAGACCAAGTCCACCCACAACTGGAAGTCAGGTGGCCTGGGAAATAAAAGATTTGAGTGCACTTTTTAATTTTAAATGAAACTTGTTAGTTGCGGCCCACGTGTGACGTCACAGCGCGAAATGTCACTAACGTCAGTTGGGAAATAGGTTATAATGTCAATTCGGTTGTCATTGGAGAATGTATGTAGGTCTGTGGGGTTTAAAAACCTAGATTGGAGAATTTTTAAATAGTTTTGGTCGCACAAGATTTTTAGTTTAGTTTAGTTCTTTTGGGTTTGGACTCGGGACAATTTAATTAATAACATAAAATATAATTTCATACTTAATTGTTGTTTTTTAATAGATAGGTATAATAACTATTGTGAAACATACTGAATTAACTAATAATCGCCGGTTAGTCACGGGTAACTCTGACTCAGAAGGTTGCGCGACATCGCCGCAACCGCGCACGCTGCTCATGAGAAAGAGACCTTCTGTGGCTCGAAACTAGTAGAGCTTTTCTTAATATATTAACGTAAGTAACCCACGATTTTTAGTTAAGATAGGTATACATTTTTAGTTCTATTATGAAGTCGATGTCCATATAGGTATAAGAGACTGTAATATTCAATTGTTAAATATAATTTCTTGACTGCCTCGTTGGCCGAGTGGTCGCAAGTGCGACTGCTGGGCAAGGGGTCTTGGGTTCTATTCCCGGGTCGGGCAAAGTATTACTGGGTTTTAAAAAAAATCTCAGTATTAGCACGGAGTCTGGAACTGTGCCCGGTATATGGCAATAGGCTCACCCTATTACATGGGACAGGGGACTCTTAACATAAATAGTGAAAAGTGGGTGTTACACTGTACAGTGGCATAATATGCACCTCTGCCTACCCCTTTGGGGATAAAAGGCGTGATGTTATGTTAAATAAAATTTCAGATGCTGCTACTAAAGAAAATGTAATTAACAGAATCCAACATAGCAAAAGTACTTCACAAATGAGCCAACCAGGGACATAAACACTGAAAAAACAATAACTTCAGCTCCCAAAATGAATGTCCAGCATCGATATGATAAAGACAACAAATAAATCTTGCAATCGATTCTCGATAAGAATTTCGTGAGCCATAAAATCGAGAAGGCTGTTTCAGATGGCTAGTAGCTGTATGAAAGAACAATAGGCTGTACTTTTTCAATGTATTGTATTGAATTGAAAACAATGGTATATTCTTTTGTCATGTCATGATATTTTTATTGATACGGGACTTCTTTGTCGGCGGGCATTAATTGGTTTCTGTTTTCGATAGTTCTCAGTATCGTAAAATTTGGTGGATAGGTATCGAGAGGTGAATAGATATAGAAGAGGAGTGAATAGACATTGGGAAATTCTTCATAGTATCGATTCGACTTTGACTGCAGAATTGTCGTGGTGGTTGGCCAAATGGCTGCCGCGCAACGTGTCTTGGGTTCGATTCCCGCCCGGAACAACTCTTTGTGTGATCCACAGATTGTTGTTCCGGATTTGGGTGTCATGTGTATGAGAATGAACTTGTATGTTTGTAAACGCACCCACGACACAGGAAAAAATCCTAGTGTGGGGCAAAGATTCTCAAAAAATTAAAGAATTAATAATTATTCA